CGATAGTCATCAACAGCGGTGAGTGTAAACGGTGCACTTCCCACTTGAGCTTCTTCAACGCCTCAGTCGACTTGCCGAATACGCCGCCCATATCGTCGATCTTCATGCTGTACTCCTTTATCTCCTCTCGTTGTTTCTCCACACACAACACCAGTGAGTCACGCTGATCACAGAGAGACGGGGAAATCGCTCCCTTTCTTAGGCTGACTCGCCGAAGCGAGCTCAACTAGCGAGCAACGAGCCAGTGTGGGAAAATGTGCACATGCAGCACGTAACATGCTCAACTACATGTGTTTGCGACAATATGAAAATTCTGACGAAATTCTGGAAAATTCTCATTGGTTTCTGTACACTTCTACCACACTGTACATATGAACTCCTGAGCTCAGCTGAGGAACGCACTTATATATTCCAACACTGTTACGAGCGGTGGTCACTTACTTCGTTCCATAACTTTTTGATGGTTTCGTTTTGTTCGTGATGTGTGTTCTTATACTGTTCCAGAAGTTCATCCATCATCTTCTGTTTGGTCTGAGTCTCCGTTCTCTGTTCATTAGCATCTTCAAGGAGCCCTTTCAATTTCGCTCTAAGCCTGCCGAGGAGGAGAACCGTTACAGTGATCAGGAATAGCGAGAATGCTAAGCGATACACCTGATATCAAACCTTGTGCGTAAATTGAGTAAATTAATGTCATTGTAAGTTACAATTTGTAACGTCGTTGAGGATTCTTCGATGACGTTACAAATTGTGGGTTAAGATTTTGTTTAATGATCATTGACCACTATATAACACGGGTGACCGACTTCCGTGATGTAGGGTCCGAAACAGACAGAGGGTTCAGCTATTCAGCTGAAAATATGCATACATCGATGATCGATGTACATATATTTTCAGCTGAATATTCGTGATGGTGATCGATGATCGATCACGAATAAGCGAGAGTTGATGATGTGCGATAAAAGCGATAGAGGAAGTAATTTTACTGCAGGGATTGATACAATCTGCTGAATTCTGGTATTAGAAAGCATCCAATAGATACTCTATATTCCATACGGGATATTGACAGTTTAGATGAGGCGTAAAACTAGGCCTTCGGAAGGCCTCGGAATATGCCGAGAATCTCGGAGAAGGGGCGGAGCTCGCGCGCTCTTGACGCGCGAGTGTGTGGAGATCGGTCTCTTCTCGCTTATCGTAACTTACAATTAATGATTCATTGTATCACTATTCGCTATAGTATAGTGTGCAGATTGAGAGAATTAGCATACTGTTCATAAAAGTCAATAATTTCTGCTAACAACACAGCATCTTGTCATGAACAACATTCTCATATAGCCATCTCCCGTAGACGCAACTCAAATGCTTTACGGTCATCGGCACTTTCACCACATAATTCATTCTCCTTGGGAACACATTAGCAAATAATGTGTGGTATCGAACTATTCTCTTCCAGTGTGAGTGAGGGTGAGCAGCGACCGACCTATCGCAATGTTGGACGATCCCGTGAGCCTCGGCGAGTTTATGACGAGGGACAAGTCCAAATCTAATTGACAGGTGTCATGGTGATCCAGTGGCACACACTTCCAAAAACCGCGTTAGATAATTATGAAATTCACTAATTCTCGGGTAGGCAGTTACGCTCCCGATGGTTCCAAACAGTGCCACTAAGAGACGTACTGCTCCCACCATGCCGTCTGTAATAGGGACTCTGTTACGGAGTGCGGGAAGCGACTGTTTTTGAAGGCAGCTGTGGCTACATATACTACAAGTATATGTATAGCGACTCATTGCAAATAAGTATTGGGCTTCAAATCCTGAATGCTGGCGTTCTTGGAGGCGCTGAATGTAACGGTGAGCCCAACGTTGAAAGAAATTATAGTTGCATATCTACCGTTACGAATTGGCCGCAAACCCGGAAACAGGCCCATTTCCATACCAGGCATGGTACCTATATTAGAGAGGTGATTATTTTCTCAAGAGATCTGAAGGGCCAGAATAAAGAGGGGGCACAAAGCGAAGCATGGAGAAGTTCGCCACGGACTCAGCCGCATACCGTACGATACTAGTAACTCAATAAGCATAGGTCGGGAGAGTCGGGAAGGACTGAATATACGACTTATCATCCTCTTAAGAGTCTCTAGATGACTTCTGTTGAAAAGTTCCAGCAATCAGCTATTCATTCACATCCAACAGATGCGAGAAGTATATAAGACTTCATGCTGCCAAGAAGAAAATGACTATGGACGAAAGAAAATCGTCCTGATTCGAATGTGATGGGTTTCATCCAGTGCACATCCACAATGGAGGAGATCCACTCAGACCTTAGGTGTACCACAAAGCAGGTCATCATCTATTCCGCAGTTCCCGAGGGCTATCTTGAAAA